GAAGTAAGCCAGAAATAGAAAGAAAACGAACATATGATATCACTCGTATATGAGATCTGAAAGAAAAAAAAAAACACATGAACTTATTTACCAAACAGAAGTAGACTCAACAGACAGAAAATAAACTTGTGGTTACCATGAGGGAAAGGGAGTTGGAAGAGATAAACTGGGAGTTTGAGATTTGCAGATACTGACTACTATATATAAAATAGATAAACAAGAAGTTTCTTCCATATAGCACAGGGAATTATATTCAATATCTTGTAGTAACCTGTAATGAAAAAGAGTACGAAAACAAATATATGTATGTCTATGTATGACTGAAACATGATGCTATATACCAGAAATTGACATAACACTGTAAACTGATTATACTTCAATTAAAAAAATTTTTTTTAAACAGAAGCCCAGCCAGCAACAGGAGAATGAAAGTTTATATAATTTATCTTTTTATGTAAAAAATAAGGTATAATAACTAACATAAAGAAATATGTAAAAAATAATGTATAATAATTAACATAAGGAAATACTATGCAGTCTTTCAATATGGGACAAAATTTTTTTAGCACAGAATCAATGTTCATGATATGAGTTTTTAAAATACATGACACAAAACTTTATTATACTATTTTAGTTTTGGTTTTGAAAAACATGCTCTCTTGCAGAAAAGGTCATGAGGTACTAAAATCACCTTGAAAATATTTTTCTCTCTCACAAAAAGCAAACGGTATCAACAGTATCCTTCACTGTTCTTGAACCAGTTAAGACTTCTGTCTATCGAAAGGGAGAACGTGTGAAAACTGGCAAATTCTCAGTCATTCCTGTAATTTGACATCATGCTTTTTAGGTTTCTCTTTTTCAATAAAGAGAAACATGCCTCTGAGGGTCCCACATAAGGAAAAGAATTGTGAGTGGATGGCACCATGGACCCACTATTTCAGACAAGGTAGTAAAGTGGATCAGAACATCCCAGTGAGCTGGATAGGGGTACCTACGGGCACTCAACTGTGGGCTACAGGCAGAATCTTTCTGTGCCTCCAACCCCATGTGCCCTGTGAGTCATGCTGGCTCTAGGGCTGGGATGTTCTGAATGATGGATTCTGATGGAATCCTGCCTGGAGGCAGAGGCAGGAAGCAAGGATGGCAAAAGGGGAAGTATCTGAATACTGTTTATCATTGCCTTTGAAGCAGGGAGGGGCCTATATCTCTGTCCACCAGCATTCTAAAATTTGCTACATTGAGTTTTTGTTTTTCTTTAAGTACATCTGGTACCAAGAGGGGCAACCTATACCAAGAAATAGAGGCCAAAAAGACACCTTGACTTGGGTTACCAATGGGAGGAGTGTCATCATGGGGGAAGCTGCTCTCTCAGTACAAAGCTTTCCTTTCTCTTTAATACCAACGGGTTGTCAATTATTTTTCTACCTTTGTAAAGTAAAAATCCATCTCAAAAAAATATTAACAAATTCTGTTACAGCAAAGACTATGCTTTTTTTTTTTTCCATCTAATTCCCTCCGCCCCATCTGCTCTCTCCCATGACTGAAAACAACTGAAGACCCCAGAGAGGAAGACTTCTGAAGTCCACAAAAGACAAGAAAATGCCTATTGTTGTGTTCACCTGTGAAGGCTTCTAATGGCCAGAGGCCCATTTGACCACTGTCACCACCACCCTGCTTGCTCAGGGATTAATCAGCAGTGCTTGTTAAGTCATGGCTCTTCACATACACTGTTAACCAAAGGGAAGAAGGAAATGACACTGTTGGGTTCATTTAACAAACGTCTGTGGAGCCCCAGGCTGAGCGCCGGGCCCTGGGACACAGGACGGATGAAGTATGATCTCTGACCTCAACGGGCTCATTTCTAGAGATAAAAAAATCGGCTTCAGACCCGGGCGAAGAGCTCAACTACAGGGAATGCAGCCAGACACGGGTGGAAAGGACACTCCAGCCAGTCCCTGAAGAACGAGTGGCCAGGATGAGGACACACTGCTTGAAGAACATCATATCTAAAACAATTCTCTCTGCCAAGGAATTCCTTTCTTGCACCATTGAGAACACAGGCCCAGAAAGCAGACCTACTAGACACTGATGCCTGCAAGAGAAACTGAGGCCCAGGTGGACGTACATGAGCACAAGGTTACCCACTGCAGAGCTGGAGCTGAGTCCAGCTCCCACTAGCTCCGGACCCTTGACTCGGATGCAGAAGCCTAAAGAAGTGCAAAGGAGCTGGTCTTCTCACTTCTCAAGATTCAATTCCACACTTTCATAGGTGGGCCCACCCTACCACTCTGAGACAGGAGGGAAGAGGGCAGGGCACAGCCATTAAAGGAATGACACAGCAAATTAGCACCAAGATGGCAAAGAATTCAACTCCCAATTGACCTTGCGGCCCAAGATGGTGGGAGATCTGACTCCCAGTAGACCTTGAGCTTATTATACACTCATTATAATACATTAGCATGATAAATGGCGCCCCCACAGGCGCCATGACAGTTCCGATGCTGACCATAAAAGGTCAAAGAGTGGGCGGTGGCCCAATTCCTCAGAATCCCAGCCCCTTCCCCAAAGCAGCTGGAATGATCCTCCCACTTTTTAGTATGTGAAGTTATCGAGCCCATAAAAACCAACAATCCCCACACATCATGGCTGTTCTCCTTTCTGAGATAACGGACTGCACTCTATCTACAGAGTGTGTAACTACTACTTTAAACTCAACACCCACCCCCATACTTCATGGCCTCTCTGGCCTTCATAGATGGCCTACATTCGGTCTATGGAGTGTGCATCTCTCTGAATAAATCTACTTTTATTCTACTACGGCCAAGGACTCTTACTTGGCGGGGCACATCCCAGGCACTCACCTGAGACCTAGGACACAGCCATCCTCTCACGCCCCATTTTCCTGTATCATCTTCAGCAGTGCAGTGTGGGCATGGACGTAGTGACACAGAGTTAGCAACATAAGCCTAATAGCACAGTTCCCGCGTCGCCTAAAACATGAGCTTCAAAGTGCATCCCTTGCCTCGGAAGCCTAATTATGTGGGTTCAGCTGAATTCTGCATTTGGTGAGTGGTTACCATATACACAAACTCAGCAGAGACACGAGCCAAAATCAAGGAACCTAATTCAACACTTAAAACCCATTAAGCTCTAGAATTGTGTACCTGATACAGAATAGACAAAATAACCCTGAGCAGAATAAGGTTATTCGGAAGTGGTCAGATACAGGAATCCCACAAAGTGGCCAGCGAATGGTCTTCAAAAAACAATGGACCAACCTGGCCCCTCAACTTCTCCCTCTAGCTGTGAGTCATCCAGGACTAAGCTGTAGCCCTGACTCTCGGGACCACTGGCAGCGAACACCGTGCCCCTAGACACCCCACGCAAGTTCCTTCATCCCCCCACCTCAATCCTGTCCTCTGTAAAATGGTGACTACCTGCCTCATAAGCTGTTGGGAGGGGTAAGGCCCAAGACCCCGTGCCAAGCACTTAGCCCAATACCTAATGTGTCGTAAGTACTTCATAAATGGCCATTAGGACTATTAACTACTCAAGTGGAGAATCAATCTGGCTCCTCTTTAAACGGCCGACACGCCTTTGCAAGGTTTGACTGCAGCAGGGAAGCGGTGCGGAGCCTGCAACAACACACTGGCATCTCGGGAGAACAGCCCCCAGGATCGATTCACCAATGGTCTCAAGACGCCCCCTTTGGCAGCAGCGCCCTGACCCCCTCCTGCCAGCCCCTCAAACCCTCGCTCTGCCTGCTCTGGGGTTTCCATGATCAGTTCTCAGCTTCCAACATAGTCATCTTGTCTTTCTTCTCAACAACCCACAGAAGTTCCACATTAGCCGCTGATACAACCTGCTCTTAAAAACAAGAAACTGCCTCAGTTCGCTCAGAAACGCCGACTTCAGAGTAGGCACACTGCGGACACCTCATGGGAGCCCACCTCCAGCGTCTGAGAAACACAGTACTTCAGGGAGCATTTCACTGACAAAACCACAACCCACAGTAACAAGGGACGTGGCCATGGACAGGGGATGGTAACAGGCTCCCGTACTTGCCAGTCAGGATCCTCTCTCAGACCACTCGGTCTCAAGCAGCTGAAGGAGACGAACCAGACAAACTCCCACCAGGTCTCTGGGGTTTCACAGACACACGCCTCAGGCAGTTCACCAAGAGTCAGACTCAGGGACAAGTGTCAGGGGCATCCGGAACCTTCGACCTTACTTCTCCAAGTGCAATTACAAACCAGCTGCGGCAGCAACACCCGGAGCTTGCCAGACATGCAGGCTCGCAGGCCCCACCCAGATCAGCCCCATCGGGGTCTGCATTTTAACTAGATCCTCCAGAACGAAGCAGCCTACCCAGGTCAGACCGGATCACTTCCTTAGCTTTTCACTTGGTGTTGTCCTTTCTTCACGTAAGTTTCATGGCCGCACAGACAGTGCCTACCGTGGCCACCTGCACATAGTAGATGATCAATATGTGTTGAATGAATGAACAGATGAATGGGTGGTCCAAGTGACTCAAGAGACCTCTCCTGTTTTAAGTGCAAAGAAAGATGCAAGCAACGGTCAGAGAGAGAAAGAGCTAGAAAGCACACCTGGAGGCGGGAGAGGCATCTCTAAAAGAGGTTGGCATCAGCGGCTGCACCAGGCTAAGAGGTGATGGATGAGGAGGAACTGCCGGGGAAGAGGATTTAAGCCATGAGAAACCGCACCTGCATATGCCACCATCAAGAATCTCTGCCTGCAGGCCGGTGAGGATAATAGACCATCAGCTCTGGGGAGGCGGACACAGAAGGCCTCACGACCGTCTGACCGTCAGGGACAGAAAGGCTGTGTCTAGAGTCACAGCCACCAACTCCATGGCTCCTGGAGCTGGCTGTGCAGCAGGAGGGCTGCAGAGGGAGGCAGTCCATCAGTGAGACTGTTTCCTGGCCACCACCCCTCTGGCCCTCAGATTCCAAAGTAGAAAAAACACAGAGGTTACTCACTGTTTTCAACAAGTCGATCCAGGAACTTGCCAGCAGCCGAGCATCCGAGGGTCCGGGAGCCCAGTCCAGATGTTACCCTGCAGCAGCGCGCTGGCAAAGAAGAGACCAATGACACGCGTGAGTGCGGGCGGCCGCGTTAGGTGGTAAGCAGCGTTCTCCAAACATCGAATGACACGGATGGGGCTCAGATTAGAAAGAGAGCAGAAAAGGAAAACGCCACGCGGAGCCAGTGGTTTCAGAGCCCTGTGCAGTGACACAGCTGGCAACTCTGCTGCCCTCCATCACACGAGAGGCACCATCCACCACCAGCAGCTCCAGAGCAGCCTCTCTGCAAATCCCTCAACGTGGAGTCCAGACCTAGGGCTGCAAAGGGTCCTTGGAGATAATCAGGCAACGTCTCTCTTTACAGATGAGAGAAGCCAAGACTTAGGAAAGACAGGCCTTGTCCAAAATCAGCAGCCTGAAATGGCAAGGCCAGGAAGCGAATCGCAGGCTCACAACTATAATAAGCTGACGTTTACCTGTAAATTACCTTCCTTCATGAAACTGAGTTTCTAAATAAATGCTATTCTTATTCGTCCTGGCTCTTAACAAAGGAGAAGAGACCAAGCAGCCTGCAGTTCCAGATCTTAACCATTCCTCTAGTTCTCTCTCCTTAATCCCCAAAGACTTCCAACAGCCAAACTGAAACTCCTGGTTTTCTTCAAAAACAAAATAAAAAAAGAGAGAAAAAGAAAAAAGAACCCAGAACCGTTCATATTTGAGTACAAGAAGAAAAGTCTAAAAACTCTAGACAAAAACCTCAAGGCCCAGAAATTCTGAATGTACGAAATAGAAACAGCACAGAAAAAAACGAAAGCTCCTTTTCCATATTTCAGGTTTATAGACCTGAGAGACCAGAACCCTCCAGGGAAATGCCTGGAGACCATAAACAGTGGTATATTCCGCAGGTGAGGGGGCCGAGATTGTTGTCAACAGTCATTTTGCTGAAATGAAATGGATGATCAAAATGCTGCATCTCTGGAAAATGAGTCTTCTGCTTATGTTTTTTTTAAAATTCATCTTCATCTAATTACATATTTAAGCCATAATCATGCAAACAGTCACCTCTCCCCCTGGGGCTCTAGCTCCATTTGACCATGAGCAGATCACACCTAACCCAGGGGATCTTCCATCAGCTCATCCGTGAAAGAGAAGGAACGGGATGAGACTCACGTGTCCTTCAGTGAGTGTATTCTGAAATTCCCGCACATTGTTGGAACAAGCTGGAAGTACCTCCCACGAGTCAGCTTACACAAAGCATAATTACTCACCTACTTCGAAGAACTGAATGTCAGTCATTATAAATTTAAACTGCCATCTCTCTGAGGAAGTAACTACAAATTTGGTGTAATAGTCATATTCTGTTTCTAGGGAGTTCACGTCAGCAGTGACAAATCTGCCCCCACCCGCACTAAATGGGTATTTGGGTCTGTTTCCCCAAAGGTCCATTATTATTTATAAGGCGAAAGTTAGGGTTTCTTTCGCATTAAGTGGAATTTAGCAAGTGAGGTCATTTGTTTTGAAACTACAGCAACCCTTCCAGTCCCCCTGCCCCCATTTTAGCATTTTAGTTACTCTGGGTCAAGAGTAAAAGATGCCTGATTTCAGAGAAAATGCAAAGCCTGGTAGGCCACCCACAGAACGGTTAAGGACCCCCCCCCCACATAGTCCAAGGCACAACCGACTACCAGGTCCCTTTCCACACTCACAGGTAAGAAGTCAGGGCAGACTCACACAAGCAGACTCGTAAACGTTTCAAGCCACCTTCAGTAGTCCCAGGACTCATTTTCAAAAATAAAAACCAAAAAAGATAACCTAACATAATGGCTACATTACTCCTTATCCTTATGGGTGAGAGGATCCATAAACTCCTCTAGAAACATGTGGACCCTTTCACCCAAAAGGGGAACATGCAGGATTCAGTTTCAAAGGGTTCCCGAGTCCCCTGAAGTTTCTCTCTGTACCTCTGGTTAAGGACCTTGGTTTTATGCATATGAGGAGTCCCTTTGTATATTTCTCTCTGAACATTCCACAAGTCCTTGGTAAACAGGGCTTTGAGTGGCAACTCCATTTACCATGTGACACACGAGGGCAGGGACCGGCGAGAAAACTGGCCTCGTGGAGCATTTATGGCGGAAGGGGATGACTCTGCAGCCGGCAATGCTGACAACTGTTCCAGAGTCCTAGGCTTCGCCTGGGATCCTTTGCCAAACAGTTTCAACAGGGACTTTCCCAAAGCTATGTTTGTGCTTGGGACTCAGTTTTTCAAAACTGAAAAAAAGTATCAACAAACATCTGCATGGTTTAGAAATGCATACAAAAGTAATGAGAAAAGGATTGGTTAAAATGAAAAATTAAGATGCTTATTACGACTCTGAGACGACAGGGAGGCTTCCAAGATATTCATGGCATTGATTTCTTAACCTGGTTGTTGGTTTCATAGATGTTCCAACAATTCCTATACATTTAATATACTCTTCCATATGCATGTCACAGAGGAAAGCAGTTTTCCTCACAAAGAGATTCATTTCCACGACAAGGACCTCCAGGAGTCTCATCTCAGCCACAGCTGGAGACGCAGCAATAAAACTGTGAATCCAGCCCAGTGCTTGTCTGAGGGTGGGGCCCGCCGGGGGACAGTTACCAGCTCTGGCCCCCCAGGCAACGTCTATAAATACATCTTCTTTTTTACAAGGCCACGCCCTGGGGCAGTCCTGTGCTCTGGGCTGAGGCCACGCTGACCTCCCAGGCTGCCCGTCACTCTGGGAAAAGCTGGTGTTGGGTTTCTGCGAACCCATTGGTCCTTCCACTTTTCGGCTCTGCAGGCCTGTTTCCTGGGCACAGTCTGTTACCATGTACCATCTTAGTGAGTCTTCCTGAGCAGCTGAGGAAAAAGCGAAGCCAAGACACTTGTGCAGAACTTGGAGGAACGTCTGGCCACTTCCTTCCTCGGCTGGGTACAGAGGCCGGGCTTCCTTACATTTCTCCTTCACGTGCCTCATCTTTACTCTACCTTCCTTGTGAGGATTCCCCTCTTTCAGTGAGTGGTCCAGACACCCCTGGTCAGAAAAGTAGGTGGATGGTATATGGAGACACGACCAGTGTGTCTCAATTCCTAGCCCTTCCCACACACTCACCAATATTATCTTGACCAAATAAGGAAAGTATGCACCTTTCCTAATAAATTCTGCAAGAGCATGCCTTTCTAAAAAGACCCTTTGGGGGGTAATGTTACTAGCAGACAAAACTATCATTTTTAGTTACAACCACCCAACACTGACACCATGACACTAGACAACATTTTAACCCAGTTTTGGATAGTCAGCACCCAATAGTGTGTGCAGGACAGACACACAGCGCAAAGTGCCTAAAAAGGGAAATACCGTAGCCCCTCACCTCCTCCTGGGTCTCTTCCACTCCCCTCCTAGCCCAAGTCTGCAGTTTGAAAAAGCAAAGCAAAAGCCAAATTAAAAATACAAACGTATTCTCTTGTATGTCACCTTCAAAAGTAGAACATCCCATTGCATTCTGCCCTCTCTCCGGAGCTCAAGGTGGGCGTGGGTTCCTCTGTGTGTGTGTGTGTGTGTGTGTGTGTGTGCGCGCGCGTGAGTGTGAGTGTGAGAGAGAGAATGCACACAAGCGCACACATGCACGCAAGCCCACCATTCCTGACTGACTCAAAACAACAGCTTACAGGGACACCATCGCTGAGAGTTCAGGAAAAGTAAAGGCCAGCCAATTCCAGAAAGACAAAGGGTTTCCGCAGCTAACATGGGAACAGAATGATCTCATGCCCCTTTCCTACTGAGTCTGTGCCTAAGTGGGATCCTTCTCCAAGTTCAAGTGCTAGCTTACAGGCGCAGTCACTGTTTCCACCCTAGGGGACCCACGCGGGAGGATGGCCAAGCCAGGAAACAGATTCCAGAGGTAGCGTTTTGATGTTTAACCCAGACAACCCGCAGACAGGGGCTCCCCAGCCAAGGAGGGGGCTGGAACTCTCCGGGAGGTGTGAGACCTTATCCTCAGGGCCTTAGTCAATACATCCAACAGCTAGCTCCTTTAAATCAAGGGCCTGGGCCAGGGATGAAAGCAGACCCTCTGATAAAAGGCCTGCACCTCTGGGGCACTCGGCTGGTGCTAAACTTTCAATTCTCAAGATTCTCTCACACCTCGGAGAACACAGGCAGGAAAAGGCTACAGCGTGCTTCTCCCCCATTATCATACCTGCGCCCGGGCGACAGGCGTGGCCTGCAGACTAAAGGGGTGGGTGGGAGGCTTGGATGTGCTCCAGATTTACACACGCCAAGGCACTGTGCTCAACTCTGGGAGAGGAAAGGAAGTTGGTACCTTTGAACATCAAGAAGTTTTGCACACCCCCTCCGCCCCCTCAACATACACAATAGTAGTTCTACTTCTTGTATCCTTGGAGGGAGGACATGAAGACATAAATGCTCTTAAATCAATGTTTAATTCATCCCAATAGCCCCTACATACATTTTTTAAACAGCAGAAAATAATTCCAGGGCATTATTAATTTATTCTATAGGCAAATACTTGACCCATACAGAATAAAAATCCCTTGAATAATTTCCACAACACAATGAAATAGCCTGTGTTCTGCCCCAAATTGGTGCTGCAGTGGGAGTTAGAGGGGGTAAAAACAAAAAAAAAAGACCCCCAAATATGTGCCATACTTAGGCGCTATGCTGTTTGGAAGAAACTAGAGGTCACATGTGAAGGTAGGAAGTATTTTTGAAATAAGCCATCCCCAAACGGCTGCCCGCAGCTGGGCAGTCTCCCCCAGCGCCCCAGTATAGCCTTCCTGCAATTCCCTTTGCAGGGACCCCGCCATCACACTGCTCACACGGTTCCAAATCATCTCTCCTCCCATCCGTCTCAACCTGGAGCTCCTTGAGGGCACAGACTGTCCCCTCCTGCTGGCACCCCAGCACCTTGCACAGAGCACCCAGTGGATTAATTGTAAGGAAAGGGCGAGGAGAGGGAGAAAGATGGTGTTTCATGGAGGAATATGCAAGTAACTTAGATGA